AGGAGAGGTAAGGCAGCCTCCCAACTTAACTTAAGATCGAAGATGTGGCAGGCGAGAATAGAGGGTGCCCTTGGGCCGAATTGGCACGGAGAGATGGCCTTAAGGAGATCACGGCCCTCCTATAGGACCCCGCCGTGACACTCTTACTTCTGTTTTTACCAGTGCCAGCATGCCTCCTTGGCCTTCAGGTATTTTCTCATTATGTTTATAAAGTTGCAGGTCAGAACCATTGTGGTGGAGCACTTCTGGGGTGCAGAGCCCATCAGGGAAAGCAGAACCATTGTGGCAGCAGAACCATTGTGGCAGAGCCCAGCAGGGAAAGCAGCCAAGCGAAGCTCCCCTAGATCTCATTCTAAGGGGGGAGATCTGTGGTGGAACACCTTTGGGGGTACTCGCCACCTGAGCGCTCTCACAGGCTCCCCTTGGAGGAGCAGCAGGGGAAACCTCCCCCAGGTGTAATTTTAAGGGGGAAGGTGTGTGGCAGGGCACTGTTGGTGCCTGCCACTTTAAGACCTAAGCCAAGCAGCCAGCAGGTGCCTGATTGCAGCAGCCATTTTAGATTCAGGGCTGCCTATATAAGTGGAGCATTTTGCTGCTGGCAGAGCAGGCAATGACATCGCCTGGCTGCAAGGCTTCATGTATCATCCTGGAGGTAAGGGCAAGAGCTGTAGGGGATGATTTAGAGGCTCCTGGTCCTGGGCATAATCTAAAACTGCACCCTGCTGGGAGTGGGTGGCCTGGTGGGGCTCTCAGTGGCACAGAAGCCCATAGGAAATGCCAGCCCAGTGAAAGGCAAGAAAGGGCGCCTTAACCCCAGCCCCCACCTTCGGGTGGGTCCAGTAACATGAGAGGTAGTTGGGGCTGCGGCCACCTGAGCCCTGGGGGGTGCAAGACCCTGAGAGACCCTGAGGAGTGAGAGTGGAGGCCAGGCACGGCTGCAGCCACCTGAGCCCTGTGGCGGGTAGAACCCTGAGGAAAGATACTTGGTGCCAGGCACGGCTATGGCCACCTGAGCCCACTGGGGAGGGAAGCCCCATGGCCCCAAGTAAAGGGACTGTGTGGAGCCCCAGTGAGTTGGCGGAGGTGAGGAACCCCAGTGAAGGGGGGAAAACCAGAGGGCTGAGAGCCCAGTATGCTTATATAGATAGAGCATAATGACCTGCTGCTCCGGGGGGGGGGGGGGGGAGAGTCCCCTTGAGACCCTGGAACACCAGTCGTGGTGTGAGTTACCCCAGCTCCCACAACTGGGTAGGTTAACCCCTAGTAGGGCCAGAAGGTGGATCCAGGAGCAAGAGTGGGGCTAGAGGCTCAGAGGCCTGATGTAGAGTACCCTTGACTGGTCAATGCTGGGGCCAGGACCAGAGTGATCAAAAGGGCCAGGGGCCCACTGCGATGGACTCCCAAAGCTGAGGGGTCCTGACTGGCCTTAGAGGTGAGGCCAGGGCCTGTGTGGCCAAAGGTCCTGCGGGGACCACACCCGAGATGGGAAATAGTTGCAGGGAGCTAGGCAGCCTGAATGAAGGGAGGGTATGCTGCCGGAATGGAAGGATCTTAGAGGGGTCTGACCTGGAGGATTCTGGGGCCCAGTGTGGGGCTGGTGAGATTAACATCAGTGGATGCCATCTGCAAGGCATGGCTGCAGTGTAGGAGAGGTACAGAGCTGCAGATAGTGCCCCCTGACATTGGGGCATGAATGGGCAGCCTCCCGCCTTAATTAACATCGTAATTAATTAAGAACAAGGCATGGCAGGAAAGTCAGGGGGGTGGAGAGCCCAACGGCAAGTGGGGAACCTAGCACTGTGGCTAGGCGGAGAGCCCAACTTTGCCACAACCATTAACTGTGTCCATCCAGCAAAATCCAATTCTCTTTTCTATATTTATTTAGAACAACACTTAACATGAACTAGTGTTATAAATGGACTAAAACCTGATAAAAGTATGGTTTCCATCTACTTGGTTTCTCTATAGGCTTCACAAAGAACATAACTCTTCCAGCAAACAACAAGAGAAAAAACAAGGAAAGAGACTGCAACAAGGCCAAAAAAGGGGCAGAGAGGAAGAATGAATGACCACACAATAAAAAAAGTGTTTAAAAAAAAAAAAAAAAAAAAAGAGTAGAAATGGTAGGAGACAAGTGCCAGTGAAATCAAATACTGAAGAGGGAACTATACAAAAAGAAAAGCTGATACATGCAAGTAGAGAGAGAGAAAATGCAAGACAGAATGAGAAGATAAATGTAACAAATGAAAGCTCATATGTAACCAGTCTAGAAATTTTTTTTAAATGTAGTGCTTCTGGGGCGTGAAGACACACACCAACTAGCTGCAGGCTGAGCATCAGCCTGAAGTGCTACTGTGCCATGGATAAGAGGCCGAAGAAAGCACACATCTCAGCATATCCTGTAGGGGTTCAGTTTCCAAAGGTGGCCAAGAACTGCTGAGCACAGAGAAAAAAGACAATTTTCTGGCTGCTAAAGCAACTGCCAACGCATCCCTGCTTACCCACAACCACCAACCTTTATGTTGGAGTCCCCAGTCAATTTGATTCTGAGCCCAAGGAGTATAGGGGGAAACTTAATCAAATCGTCAGCGTGCATATCCCTTGCAAAGTGATGGGGGCTACAAACTGAGTGCCACAAGGGGCCGAGACTTTGGGGCCAAAAGCCTGGCATGGCACTGAGGGTAGAATCAGCCCACATGATGTAGGTCTTGTTCTCATCACCTATATCTATTGTGGGAGGGATATAGGGCTCCATTTCTTTACCCAAAAGAGAGTCCTCCTAGGCTTCTCTGGGTCCTAGATTGTCCTCTCCTTCCTCTCCCTCTACCGGTTCACCATGAAATAAACTCAGTAGAGACATACCCTGTAGGATCTTTGAAGGCTCCTAATAATACAGGGTGGTCACCCAGCAGGCACCAGAGGCATGATTAGCATCTCATGGCCTTCTGTAAGTTAACTTGAGGATCTCAATCTTGATACTGCTTTGCTGCCAGCCTCTGGGGTGTCCTCATCCTGCTGTCTCCGCGGCTGGGTACTTGTAGATGGCATAGTTATAGTAGCTTTTCTAGAGTGCCCACTGGTTTTCCCCAACAAGCCATATTGCAAATAGCACCTCTTTCTGGCTCCAATTACTTGTTTACCTGGTAAACATGTCTGATGAGGATGGAGTAGATATACTGGCAGGTCCAAATGGATGTCCCTCAAACAAGTGTTGACCTCAAATGCACCATCAGGTGGCATGCCATGAAAAGGAGTGTGCCTTCATGATTAGCAATGCACTGCTGCCACTGATGGCCCCAGCTGCTCACCAGATAGCACTGCAAGGAATGGGTGCATGCCTTTGTAATCAGTGGTACACTGGCAGCAGTGATGACCCAAACTCAACACCAGGTACTGTGATATAAAATAGATGGTGCATCTTTGTGAATAGCTGTAAGCAGGAGTACAAGGCTGCATATGACCAGAGCAGTAGAGTTCAGCCTGAGTCACAGAATAACTGCTTGCAAACAGGAGGAGGTATAGACCACTGCATTGTGGGATACCTAAAGGACTGATCAGATGGGCCCATGTCATGTTATACTTAGAATGCATATATAATGTGAGATGTTACAAATATGCAACAGAATAAAACAGCACTCAATTCATCCAAGTACAGTTCTGAAATGCTTTGGCTAGTTTTACACTGGTTTAATGGGCATGTAAATCTTTACACTACTAATTTTAAACTACATTTGGAATAATCTAACTTACGTGTGTCCATAGAGAGAGAGAGAGAAAGCACAAGCATGAACACAGAAACAACATTAAAGGGAGAACATAGAAATAACATTAAAGAAAACCTAGAACACATCCTATTTTATCTGAGGCAAGACTTGGAGTATCAGTGAATGAAGCCAAAATACACTACACCAATCCAAAAAAAAAGAAACAAATTCAACTCCCTTATGAATGGGCTTTCATTTCCTTTAAGTTAATCCATTTTATTCGTAATGATAGCCTTGTCCTGAACAGTTATAGGCAGTGCCACATGGGGCTGCACCTTCCAGAGACAGTACTGATGCTGGATAGTCATTCAGATCATACCAGGCGAATGAGGAAAGGTGGAATCAGCAGGGGATGTTATTTGTTTGGAATATTATGCTGCTTTAAACACTGACATATGCATTCAAACTGACATCATCAGAACATCTGTGTTTGTGGGAAGGGGAAGATTGTTTGTTCGTTTTAAGGTGAGCATTTCAAAAGGCACTCCTGGGAAAGCAAGCTTGCTTGGATGAACGTAGTAAAAGGTTTCTTGCAAATATTCTGAATGTGTGTCAAATGCATAGGGATAAAGGTACATTATACATATATAAGATTTCAATTTTATTCCATTCTCTCATTTTAGTTCCCCTGAAATCACAGATCACCATGCTCACTGTCTGACGTGATGTACCCTACTTTGAACAGTGCTGATAACTACATATCATGTTAGAAACCTCCATGGAGTTGAGCTATTTACAGTAGTAAGGGGAAAAGGTCAGAAGTGATCATTTTCTTTCAGCATTCAGCAAGGTTCTCCAGATTTTTTTTAGTTCTTCTTTTTTTTTTTTTTTAAATGTTGCTATATAAAGCAGTAGTTCTCAACCTTTTTATGCTCTAGGCACCCCTCATTAGACTCAAGACACCCCTTAGAAAATACTAGATTTTTACTTTTTCCCCGCTCATTTTTTGGACAAAAAATAGTACAGCAATTTTTCTGCTGCAAGGACCTCAGAAAAAACACAAGTCAGAATGTTTTTAATCCTATGGGTTCCTATTTGAAATTTCTGGATTTATTCTGTGAATCATGTTTACACAACTAACAGTGCTAATAATGCCTGGTACCCTTGAAAGAATCTCTGGGCACCCAACAGTGCTGTAGCACCGTTGTTGAGACTGATATGGAAAAAGGAAAAGTATGCCGCACAGCTCCCTACAACTGGCTCCAACACCCAAGGTCAACAAACTGAACATCATACTAAGGTCACCAGATCAGAGAAAGGAACTCATCAGCAGTACATCAGAGAACCTAAAATGTAAAATGAGCATGACTAAGTTTTAAAAAGACTTGTCAGAAACCCCTCTGTCCCTTGTTACTGTGTCACTCACAACAACCAGTTTAGAAAAAATATTTCCAGGCAACCCTGAAGATCAGTAGTAATAGACTCCATACAAACAAAACTGCAAGGTGAAATATACCAATGAAATGGAGAACACTGTGTTTGATAGGGGGGTTTTTTTAGGAGTCCTAAAAGGTGCATGATAAAAATACAGCAATTTTACTTAACAGCTTCCCCTACTTCATATCTAACTTGACAGGTAATCTTGTTTTTCTTCCATTTCTACTCATTGGCTGTCATTTGAACAGCCATCACCAGGTCACACAACAATGACACAAAAGAAATGCTGAACTCAATGTTTTAACCCTTCCACACCAGAGTTTTTGGGAAAAGTTACCCTTTGCTATATAGCTGCACTGATATAAGAAGTGAGTTGCAGTATTGTAAATGAACTCAGTTTCAAAATTTATGTATGGTGAAACATCACAAGAAATATTCTATAGTATAACAGGACTTCCAGAGTAGGAATCATGCTGGTTGGGGGAAACCTTTAAATGCTAACCAGTCTTTAAGTTTCTATAACCACAGGGCATTTTTGTGTGTGCTCCGAGGGCCAGGGGGACACTTTAATTAGTGCAGCTCCAACAGCCTCTGTAATTAAAGCACAAGCAGCATCTCGTGTATCAGTATCCCCACGCTTCAAAATGGTGGTGGGGCACTAACTAAACAAGCTTTAATTAAAGTGCCTCCGCCCCCATTTTGAAGTACAGGAACACTTATACACGAGACAAGGAGACTGCTGGAGGCACGCTAACTAGCACACTCCAGCAGACTTGACTGAGACTGCTCTGAAACGCTGTAATTACAGAGCGTCGAAGCAGTCTCCCCACACATCTACAGGCACCCACAGTGACTGGAAAGCCTCTAAAGGTTACTGCCCTCTTAAAAGTTTCTGATTCAGAAAAACACTTATGCACATGCTCAACATTAATCGTTCATTTAAGAATCTTCCCGAATACAAAGTTTTCCTAGTTAGAACCAAGAGTATTAACCACAAATCACATTAGATCTTACCAAAAAGGAGTCCCGGCTAGATTTTTTGTTTTCTTTTTTCCCCTCCCCATTTCATTAAGTGTTTAGAAGCAGAATGGTTATTTCATTTTAAGAAGCGTAGAACAGCAGAAAAAATGGTGGTTGGATTATATTCATGTCAAGTGTGGTCCAAATAATGAAGAAGAATGAAGAGCATAAGCATCATTCTGTCAGCTTCCATATAAAAAGAAATGTACCATGCCTAACACCTCTGCAAAAAGAACACCATATCCAATTTCATGAATACTTTGAAATAATTCCTTCTTTAACTCGCCAGTGATTACAGCATCTTGTATCCTGTCTGCAATTTAGGGCTGTATTCACTCTCTAAAGCCCAGTTTGCAATGCTAAAGATGTGGTGATTTAAGATACAGGGCACTAATGCTTAGATTCTTCCAACCCTATAGGCAATGCGAAACTTAAAAACTATTAAAACATTATTTGTTCTATAGGGATTACTTATTACACATTCAATTTAGTCAACCATGTCTGCTGAGAGGCACACAAATCCCACCATAGCTAATTTAAGAACTTACCAATTTCCCTTGCAATTCTGACAGCTTCATCTGCATCCTGTAAAAGCAGGAAATGAGACCTAACGTTAATCCCATCAGCCATTGCACTATGTCCTTAGGGCAGTCATATATTGCACTACTGTCTCCTCTGATTCATTTAATGTTTGATTTTACAACCTTCTGACCCTTTTCAGTCACAGGAATGTAAAATTAATACCATAAGTGGAATGTAAATTCTACCTCATCATTATTATACCAAGAAACTCAAAGCAACAAGGAATCAGCTGACAGGAAGCACTATCAAGATCACAAAATGATTTTCTGCATTTGCAGGAATTTCATGCTAAAATTTTGAAGTTTACAACATATCCTGGATCATAAATCAGATCATTAAAGCTTGTCCACTATCAGCTTGTTCTGTCTTCTTAGGTACGTGTGTGCCTTGTTTTCCTGAATACTGTCAGCAGGGGGAGTTGATTCTCTATTGTTTGGGTAAGATTCCGATTCAGAAAAAGTCTTACAAAATTTCTTCGACTACATCTGCCAGTCTTTACTCAAGCAAAACACACAATTCCAGTGTTGGAGTTTTAGGTTATAAGATGGACAGGAACTTTAATGTATCTATTTAAATATTTTAACTGTGGTCTGAAATGGGCAGATTCAGACAACAGTTTTCTTTAACTACAACTAATGTTTAGATTTCAGTGCATAGCTATTAATTAGCAAAATTCTTCTGTGGTCACCACCTATTGTGTCAGCTGACTCATATCATTAGAATCACTGAGCAGCAAACATAATGAGAGAAAAAAAATGATCTAGGAAGTTCAGAAGAGAAAAGCCAAAGGTCTTTCAACTCTGGTTCACTTTTTACCAAACAACCAACGCTCACTCTCATGCAGTAGTTAATTCTACTTCCTTTCACCCAGAATAATATATTTCTATTATGCAACTGTAAAAAGAAAAAAGGTTAAATAATAGTCGCATGGGTTAAGTCTGAGAATTCCATCCAAATTTGCTAATATTTATATTATTCTGTAACTTACATTATAAGATTTTGTATAGAAGGCAGTAATGTCTGGAAACCACCAGCTGCTAAGTGCGTCTGAAGCTATGGGGGCTGACTTATGAACATTAAAATGAAACCTGATATTTTTAAAGCTTTCAAGGCAATTCATTTTAAAAGCACCCAGGTCAGTACTTTTTAAAAAAAAAAACATAAGAAATGTTCGTACATGGTTCATTTATGTCCAATAATAAAACAAAATCCTCTTTAAAAGTCTTCAGTACCTAGTAACAGCCCCATGAAGAATAAGGAGGCTGGCAGGGGAAGTTGTCAGAAAATTTAATTTCCTTTCATTAGCTAGTCTGCTCCACAAATCGGTGCTTGTTAAGTTCAAAGCAGTCCTGAAAGCAACATCAGTTTTAAGTCTTTTTATTCTAAGCAGTCACATCTGTTAATGAGATTTTCCAAATAACAATTGTTTTTAAGTCAGAGATAAATCTACCAAAAAAAAGGAAAAAAAATAATCAAGGTTTACTGTTTTATTACACCTTGCTGCTTTCCATGACCCTGCAACCTCCAAATTTTAGCTTAAAGGGATAAAAATGCATGAAAAGGGTCATTTAAGAATGTTAGTGGTTTCCACACATTGAGTTTGAAGGTTCTTTGTTCCTGCCTGTGACAGTTATGCGAGAATACTTCCCCTTAATAGCCTCTCTGTCAGGAAGTGTTAAACCTGCCAAATGCAGACAATTAGAGCCTCTTGAACAAAATGCAGGAAGAGTGATGACTGATGAAGAGCTACGATTATAGTCAAGAAGGAAACTTTTACATTTCTTTTCTCTTGCAAATTCCGTCATATATTTGCAAAACAGAATTAACAGAAGGGGGGCAGGGAGCAAATAGGGTAATTTTTTTCACTTAGTTACCTGCAAACAAGTAGCTAGCTGATACATTGGAAGTTCATTTGAACAAAAGCTACAGATCATTTAGAAGAACTTTTTAGTCATAATTGTTTTATACACACAAGCAACAACTTTAAAGAATAAACAGCATGATATGAGAAGTACTTGTACCTTTCTACTCTAAAAAATAGCAAGAAAAACAGATTATTCAAAACAGTGTTCTGCAAGGATATTGCTTATTTATACTATTTGAACACCACATACTTTGGCAATTTTAACATATTCAAACAATTCTGCAACAAGAAAAATTCAATGCATATTCAAATTCTCGAACTCACAAAGCCTGCTTTGGAAATAGCAGATACTGTTTATTGGAATTAAAACCACATTAAGAAGAAAAGGAGAGAGGAACAATTTGGAAAAATGTATAAACAACTGGCATACTCAACTCTCTGGCAACCGGCTTTTGATCTCTTTCC